GCCTCCAAAACCTACCTCGAAGGAGAAAACAGACCCCATTGATTCATGGCTGGTCTTGTCCACTTCATCACGACAAATTTGGTTTTTGAATGTCCATCTTGTATCCAGCACCTAAACTCACCTTATGCAAATAAGGTCAATTTGATTTCTCACCTTCCAACCTGGTGTCTTTAGTGGTCAGAGTGAGATGTCCCCAATACTCTTGGTTGTTTGAACACTGGGTCCCCAGTTGGTGACATTGTTTGTGGAAGTTTAGGAGGCATGACCTTGCTGGAGGAGGTATATCAGAGCATACTTTACAACTTCGAATGCCATTTGCTATTCCTAGTACACTCTCTGCTTCCTGCTTATGGTTTAAGATGGGAGCTTGCAGCTTCTGCTCCAGTTGCTGTACCTACACTGTGATGGTCATGGACTTGTAGCCCCCTAAAACTGTAAGTCAAATAAATGCTTTCTTCTATAAGTTGTTGTGGTTGTAGTGTTTTTTTTTCTACAGCAATAGAAAAGTGATCACGACAGAGTCTTTAGGTTTCATTCCCTGACTTACTGCACTAGTTAAACTTGTCAGCACTATGCTGAACACAAATGCTGAGTGTGAATATCACTGCCTGCCCAGCCTTAGGATGAAAGCGCTATCTCCTCAGCCGCTATACCAGCTTTTTGGTTGTGAGCTACACTTGCCTCTTCTTTTAAACAGTATGCATTTTCAGTGTGTGTGTGAGTCATTAACACAGTGTGCATGTGGAGGACAGAGGACCACTTTGCAGAGGTGATTCCCTCCTTCCACCTTTTCCTGGGTTCTGGGATGGAGCTCTTGGTCACCAGGCTTGTGTGGTAAGTGCCAGCTCACCAACCCTGTAGTTTCTTCATATGCAGTCAAGAAGGTCTCCCCTGTGTCCATATTTCTGTGAGTTTTGATGTGAATGGCCATTGTTTGCTTTAATAATAAAATTGATAATGCCATAAAAAGATCTCCGTGTAGTTTTTCAGTCTATTCTCCACGTTGTGAGGTCAATCAAAACTAACTCCAGAATGTGTTCATCACTCTCTACTTCAAAGAAACCCTGTACTCAGCTGTGCCCTGCTACTCTACACTCCCTCCTTCCCCCGAGACCTTGCCATGGATCACTCTTTCTATCTTTGGGAATTTCCTGTTCTGGGTGGTTCTACTTCATGTGGACTGTGAGCCTGACATCTTCGATATAGCACAGTATTTTCAAGGTTTGTGCACCTTGTACCACAAACCAGCATTCCTCTCCTGCAGCTCATAGACTTTGCTATCCATTCATTGTGGACGGGTGTGTGTGTCCATTCTTTACTGTTGGGAATGATGCTTGCTTGGAAACTTCAGCACATGTACCTTAGTTAGCTTCAATTGTCAACTTGACACAACCTAGACTCCTCTGAAAGGAAAGCCTTCATTGAGGAATTGCCCAGATCAGGTTAGCTTAGGGTCATAACTGTGTGTGTGTGTGGGGGTATTTCCATTACCAATTAATCCAGAAGGGCTCAGCCCACTGTGGGTAGCACCATTCCCTGGGCATGTGGTCCTGAGCTATATAAGAAAGCTAGCTAAGCATGAGCCTTGAAGTAAGCCAACAAGCATCATTCATCCATGATTTCTGCTTCAAGTTCCGGCCATGACCTCCTCAATGATAGACTGTAACCTGGAGGTATAAGCCAATGGACCTCCCACCGCCCTAGGTTGCTTTTGATCATAGTATTTTATCACAGCACAGAATGAACTAGAACTTTCACTGTGTGAGTATTGGGCATGGACTCAGGCTGTCAGGATGGGCGGTGCCTTTTCCACAGCTGTCTTATCTTGATGGCCTCTCTGTGTTGGAGGAGGCCACTTGTTTGTTCCCGGCCGCCAGACTAGCTTAGACCTGAAATAATCACACAGAAACCATATTAATTAAATCACTGCTTGGCCCATTAGCTCTAGCTAACTCTTATATTAATTTAACCTATTTCTATTAATCTGTATGTTGCCATGTGGCTGTGGCTTACCGGGTAAAGTTCTCAGCGTTTGTCTCTGGCGGCTCCATGGCTTCTCTCTGACTCCGCCCTTCTTTCTCCCAGCATACTGCCTAGCTTTCCCTGCCTAGTTCTGTTCTTTCCTGCCATAGGCTCAAAGCAATTCTTTATTCATTAACCAACAAAAGCAGCACATCGACAGAAGGACCTGCCACACAATCTCTGTTTTCTCTGTAAATCGTATTCACTCACTATTCTCAGCAAACGCCCACGCGTGCTCAGTTTAAAGGGTCTTCATTGTTCCAACTGTTTAATTTCATCTGGAGTTAATTCATTTTATGAATGTTGATTTTGTTGCCATCAAGTTAGCTCTAGATGTTTTGGGATTTGAGTTTTCTTATTTGTGGGTGAAAGCCCCCCCCCCACTTCTTCCCAGCACCTAACACTTGAGGCCTGGTTTGCAATGAAGAACATGATTTTGACTTGGTGATTCTGAGTCTCAGAATCAATCAACCAATTTCTATGGTCTGTTCATCCATCCAGGTGACACGGGCTCAGGAGATGGTGTCTGTGTGGCTCAAGGTCCACACCTTCGCACATGCTGCCACCCACACCCCCACGAAATGACTGAGATGAGTTCCTTCTTTCCAAGTGACTCGTTTCTCTTCTCACCTCTGGCTTCAAAGGACGGCCTGGCCCTATCACACGAGAGCCTGTGTCTGTGGCCCACAAGGAGGCTGATCCTGTCCACAGGCCCAGATACATCATCTCGTGTTTCCTCCCGTGCTCACAGAAGAGACCGTGCTTCATATCTGGAATCACAGCAGCATCTGGACCTGAACCGAACCCAAGTGCTCTCCCTCTGCTTTTCCGTTTTTAAAATGTCTTTCGTTTTGGTGGTTACAGCTGGAACTCAGCTGGCAGAGTGCTTGCCCAAGTTGGCAGAGTGCTTGTCCAAGTTGACAGAGTGCTTGCCTAACACGCATGAACACTGGGTTTGCTCTCCATTGTAGAAATCCCGGGATGCACTGAGGAGGTGGGGGCTGCGGGACCAGAAGTTCAAGGCATTCCGCATGAAATTCAAAGCCAGCCTGGACTACACGGTCTAGTCTCCAAAACAAACAAACATACTTCAGTTTTTGCACTTTCATTTTGCTCCTTTTTTTTTTTTTTTTTTTTTTTTTTGGACTACAACTTTTATTTGCCTCTTTGAAATGAGGCAAAGTATAAGCAAATACCACGATCTAACACTTCCAAAATTAGGGTGAGCCTTCTGCCTTCTGTAACATACATTTTATTAGCAAATTGTGACGTGTTGTTTAAGGCTACTGCAAGCCGACTGGGGTGGGGGGCTTCCTTGCTGCCAGACCCTAACATGTTTATTTCAGAGGATCTCTCCCTTCCAGGGACAAGTTGGCCCTTGCCTCTGTCTAGGAGAAAGGAAGAAAGCCTACAGCTACAGATCTTAAAATCACTGCACCCTGAGGACAGCTAGAAGGCAAACTGTGCCCAACAGAAGTTTCTTTTGTTTGTCCCATGGCTTGTGGTGGGAGTGGGAGCCAAGAAGCTCATCGATGGCAACCGGGAATTCCAGCTAATTGCGTTTCCCCCCAGCCACTCTGCTGGGCTTCCTCAGCCCCCATTGGGTGCTGTCCCCTGGGCCTGCTGTCAGTCAGGTTACTCCGGTCGCCTGTGCTGGACGCTGTGAGCACTGACTTGATGCTGCTTTGCTTTCTGCCTGCTCCTTGCTAATCGTTCTTCTACGTTCCCTACATGCTTAATAAATTCGCTCATTTGAAACCGAAGAGTGGGGCTATTGTGGATTGTTCTCGGCACCATAGGACACACCTTCCCAAGGCACTGGGGAACCTCAGGTCTATACTGTCAACCGCAGCGGAACTACAGCACGCCCCCCTCAGTAGGCCCACAGCATCTAGGGACCTATGGTGCCACTGTGATACTAGGGCTGACTCACAGGGGATGCCCAGGTGTGTTCAGAAACACTGTGCAGGGAAGGGGGTGAGTTCAGTCCAGAACCATTTTTGATTTTTGAACTCACTGTCTTCAGTCAAGGTTAATGTAGCTCTTGCCTCCACCTGATTTTGGAGACCTCACAGAAATGGTGTAAGGATATACTTGTCTTCCTCTTGACCTCTCTTGCTTGGAGTTCTAGCTGGTCACAACACATACAGTCTGGCACAGCGGAATGCAAGTGTCCTCTCAAAGTGTGGGTACCCTCAGCTGAAATCTCCCACCCCAAGACCAAACATTGTAGGTAGCATGAACACATTTCCACCCCAGGCCTGCCTCCTACCTTCAGCAGGATGACTGCATCCTGGAACAGCTTCACGGAAGACATTTTCTCTCCCAGTGCACCCCAGTGTAGAACTGACCATGTAGGAACAACCAACCCAGGGTAATCTAGAAAACGCCAGGATCCCCACTCAAATCCTTTAGCCCAGTGTTTCTCACCCTTCCTGATGTTGCAGCCTTTTAATACAGTTCCTCATGTTGTGGTGACCCTCACCACTCAATTGTTTCGTGGCTACTTCATAAATGTTATGAATCGCACGGCTACATTGTGAGTTCAAGGCCACGCTGAGCAACATAAGACCTGGCTTCGTCTGAACCTGGTGTAGTGGTGAACTCTGCAATCCAGCAATGGGACAGTGGAGGCAGGAGAGGTTCAAGGTCATCCCTGGCTACTTCCTGAGATCCAAACCAGTCGGGCTTACAGGATACTGGCTCAAAAAATTAAAATAAAAAGTAGTTTTCTTCTTTGTCAAGATTTGCTATCATGACCTACAATGTAGTTCATCCGAATTGCATTCAAGATATAGCAAGGAAAGTCAACCTAACTTAAAAAATGACATCACCACTGAGAGTTTCAGTATGATGTCTCGGGAGGAACCAGAAAGAACCTAAGCTTTTCAAGAGTGAGACTCAAAAGCAGAATCCACGCTCCTCGTTGATAGGCTGCTGAGAAAGGCGCATGGCCCGGGAGGCGGGGCTGCGTCACTTCCGGAAGGCAGAGCTGCTCGGCCGGCGCTCCGGGAGCGGGCGGTCTCCATGGCAACCAGCAGGCCCCGACCCAGTTGCCTGGTTCCCCGCTGCTGTCTCGCTGGCCGCGCCCGCACAAAGACTGTGCGGTGACCGCGCAGTGCCACGACCCCGCCATTCCAGCCCCGCGGGAACCGCAGCCACCGCCGCCCGGGAAGCAGTTCCGGCGGTCGCCGTGACGCGCAGGCCGGGTGCGGCCCCGACCCGCGGGCCATCTTGGCAGCGGAAGGAGCAGCGGAGCGACAGGTACACGCGCTGCCCGGCCCAGGCCAGCTCAGGTGCGGCCGCCTTTGTTCTCCGGCAGGTAGTCTCGTCGCACCCGCGGGCAGCGCTTTCACTCGCAGCCCGCACTCCGGCAGGTGCATCCCGCCAAGTCTGGGCAGCGCAGGTCTGCGCATCCTGTAAGGCCTGGGCAGGTCCAGCCTATGCTTCCTACAAGGCTTGGGAAGGCCCAGCCCGCTCATCCCTCAAGGCCTGGGCAGGTCCTGCCTGCTTGTGCTGCAGGCCAGAGTAGGTTCAGTCTGTGCATCCTGCAAGGGTTGAGCAGGTCCAGCTCGAACATCCTTCAAGGCCTGGGCAGGTCCAGTCAGCGCCCCACACCTTGACCCTACAAAGCTTGCAGAAAGGAACTGACTGCATCCAGGACAGGATCAGTGTCCCCAGGCTTGTTCTCCCAGATTCTGCCTGGGCGCACCTGCTTCAGCACCCGAGGCCTTTTGCTCTGGTTCTCCAGCTCTCTGTTGCTTGATCTTTGCCAGAATGGTCCAACCTCAGACCTCCAAAACAGAAAGCCCAGCCTCTGCCTCTGGTGCCAGCGCACAGATGGATGATGTGGCCGAAACCCTGACCTCCCTGCGACTCACCAACTCTGCACTGAGGCGCGAGGCCTCCACGCTGAGAGCCGAGAAGGCCAACCTCACCAACATGCTGGAGAGCGTGATGGCGGAGCTTACACTGTTGCGCACTCGGGCGCGCATCCCTGGCGCTCTGCAGATCACTCCGCCTATCTCTGCCATCACCTCCAATGGAACCCGACCCATGACCACGCCGCCCACCTCGCTGCCTGAACCTTTCTCTGGAGACCCCGGCCAGTTGGCGGGGTTCCTGATGCAGATGGACAGGTTCATGATTTTTCAAGCTTCCCGCTTCCCGGGTGAAGCCGAGAGAGTGGCCTTCCTGGTGTCCCGACTGACTGGGGAGGCAGAGAAGTGGGCCATTCCCCACATGCAGCCGGACAGCCCTTTGCGAAACAACTATCAGGGCTTTCTGGCCGAGCTGCGCAGAACCTACAAATCCCCGCTGAGGCACTCGAGGCGTGCCCAAATCCGGAAGACTTCTGCATCCAATAGGGCTGTGCGGGAGCGGCAGATGTTGTGTCGCCAACTGGCCACAACGGGCACAGGGCCCTGCCCAGTGCATCCAGCCTCCAACGGGACCAGTCCGGCACCAGCCTTGCCCACCCGCAGCCGGAACCTTTAGGGACCCTATGACCACCCAGGTAGCTAGACTGTTTCTGAGAAGAATTGTCCATAAGGTAGCACTGTCCTGTTTGCAGACACCTTTCATGCCACTCCTGATCTATGGGAGGCCATCCTGCCATCCTCATTGGTCATCCACCCTGCTGTGTGTTTTTGCTGGCTTTACTTGCAACTCGGTGCATGCTCCCCTTTCTGTTGCTTGCAATCCCAGCTTCTCTAGTAATCACAACACAGCCCCTTGGATATGCGCCTGCCTAGGAGCCATTTGGCTGACCACCTCTGCGGGCTCTGCAAGCCGACATTCAGCTTCTGTGCACTCCTACATATACCCAGTCAGTTCCCTTCCTTGCTGATGAGTTCTGAATAGAAAGAAGCCAAGTTGGTCCTGTAGGTGGCTGATGTATACCTGAACCAGCCTGCCCACATCTGATCGCTTGGCAAGGTTTCCAGGTAGTCACTCTGCATTCCGGGGGATTCTTTCCCTTCTGGGGGAGCCTGTATTCCAGCATACCCCACTGCTGTTGCTGGGAACATCTGGTCCTTCGCAGACATTCCTCTTGCCTCTCCTGTCCACAGGAGACTCGTCCACAGCTGTCTGTGACTGCCAACGTTCTGATGGCGTCAAGGACATCTAGCATTCATCTGCTAAATTAATCGGGGGCCTGGGACCCTGGGCAGTTCCATCAGGCTGCCACAGGCAGCAGATTCCTGACATCCATGTGCCAGCTACGACAGACCAAGGGGGACCCTGGGAACCCCATTTGCCGCCTGGATTTCCATTGAGAGACTCCCAAGCGTCTGCTCATTCCTGCTCATGTGGCTCCATGGCAGGCCTTACCTAGCCGCAGACTTTTCCACCCAGGTGCCATGTGGCTTTCACCTCTGCCTTTCAGCCACCCACACCATCTCTAGGGGGTCTAAGGAGCCCATGCAACGTATACCTTCTCTGTGCCTGGGCCTAATGTGTAGCCTTTGTTCAAGAACAAAAGACTGGCTGGGAGCCAGTTCCTCTGGGAGACACCATCGAGCGCCTTCGGTAAGGGGTGTTGGCCTCTTGCTGAAGAATTGGTTCTGAGTGGTTAACAGCCTTGGTCTTCATGTGGCACACATTCCAATTCTGAGGAACAAAGCGTTGGCTTCTTCCCAGAAGGATGACCTGGAAATCATACTCAGACTCAGCCGAGCCCTGGACAGTGACATCTGTCACATTTCAATGCCAAATTAACTGTGTTTACATGCCCACTTGGCCCCTTGGGGGAGATGGGTGCCTCTCCTGGGTTCTCCTGCCCTCCTCTGCATGGTCTTGTCTTGACCACAAAAGATCACCTCTGCACCCACCCAAATATAGCCCTCCCTTCTTGGGAGTCCAGAGGCTGGGACATGGCCTCTTTCAGAGACTTCCTCTGACATTGGGAAAAGTGATTGATTCCAAAGCAGCCACCCTTGCAAGGCCAGGGATCTCCAGTGCTTGCTGGGCTCACGGCCCACAGCCACCTGCTTCTTGTTAACTCTGTTAGCTCAGCAGCCTTGCTGAACAGCCTAGACCGAGGCACCCTGCTGGCACCATGGTGCTTCACAAGCAGGCAGAAAACTCCGGGGGCTCCATTGAGGGTACTTACTGGTCCCCAACAGCTGAGTCTCAGAACCTTCCAATAGAGGGGTTCCCAGGTGAAGCTATAGCTTCAGCAGAAAAGTGGGGAGGTGTCTGTGGAGGCAAGAGGCACCTGGAACATTTATTTGTGGCCTTCTCAATCAGGATTAGAGACCCGATGGGCGATGTGTCACCTGCCCTGGCTCCTTGGACCACTGGGTGATGTGTTTGTGTTAGGTTCTGCTTCAGCCCTCAGCTGGTCCTGGAGCCAGAGCCGTGCAGGCTGTCTCCCTATGTGGCTTCACTATCTCCCTGTGCCGTCTGGGCTGATTCACCCGGGTCACTCTGCTGCAGTGGGTCCACACTGCTGCTCTGGTGGCATTGGCTCGGTGATTGTTTTGTTGTTGTTGTTGTTTTGTTTTTTTCTCAGTGTTTGTGTTTATGGAACTGGGGCAGTGCTGCCCTGTATTTAGAACCATCTCGATAGCTCCCTGTAGCTTGGAGCCTGGAGCACATGAGAGGCGTCTGACACTGCCCTCCACCTTGGACCTGGATGAACCACTTTGGATCTGTTGCCGAGGAGCCCACTGTGGCTCCAGTGGGGGGACATGGTTAGTCCCCAGCCAAAAGGACAAGATGCAAGGCCCATGCGGCTCCAGAGGGAGACTATGCGGGGAGGCTTTGTACATATCTTAAGGTTATAGTTTCTTGAGCTCAGAAGAGAACAGGGCAAAGGGGAGAGGAGCTGGTATATGAAGGAGTGGCCTTCCTCTCGGCATTGACTGTTGTGACAGTACTGCGCATGCTCCCCAGACGCTGTGACACCCATATGGTAAGCAGACTTCACTGTATTTAGCACCTAACTGACAATGGGACCTGGCCTGGCATAAGGGTGACTTCCCAGCCTGGCATGTAACGTGACCTTGGAGTTATCTTCACGTCCCAAAGCATTTAGTGACTTTGAAGGACCCCAGCTGAGTATGTGGCAGGTGTGAATGCCCTCTGATAGTACATTTGGGCTGGTCTGAGACAGGTGCCTGTTGTTGCAGAGGACGGAGCCTCTACTGGATGCACATCAGCCTGCAGGGGAGTAAATGCAGCTGGGGAAGCTGCTGTGGGCCGAAGGTGACTCGGAGCAAGGCTGGGGCTTAGCTGGAGCACACTGGGGACAGGGCCTTAGGTGGCAGAGGCTCTGCCGTGTAGCATGCGTGCTAATTCCCTTCTGTCACCCTGTGCTCGGAAGGTGTCCATCAGGAGCTTTGCTGGGATGTCATGACATGAGGCTTGGGTTAGGAAGGGAGCTGGAGGCTGGGCCGGTGGGCAAGCTTCCCAGGGTTGGGGAAGTCCTAGCCTCCTTAGGACCTCACATTGGACTTGGTGACAGCTAGTCCAGCACGGAGGGGAGAACTGAAGAGAGGAGCCCCATTCAGTGCCACCAGCAGCTGTACCCGGGCTTCCCATTCTCCATGGCAACACAAGCCAGGAAGTATAGGGGACCAGGGAGGAAAGAAAATGATCAAATCCAGTGTTTTGGTGTTTCCTTCCTTCCTTCTCTGGCCCCATCTTTCTTTGCGTCTATAACCCATGGTGCTGGAACCCCACAGCTGTCCCACATGCCACCAACCTTATCCTGAGTGACTACGAACTCTCCCCTAGGCAGAGGGACAGTGCTGTGTCAGAGATTGATGGTATGTCAGATTTTCCTCCTAAGGCCAAGTTACTCCCTTGGAGTAGATTCTCAAAGGTGGGATTGTTGGATTAACGAATACGGGGCCCTCTGAGACTTTTATTACCTACCGACAAAATGGTTTCCAGAAATTTCTGTGTCCAGTCCGCTGCCACCAGCAAGGGTAAGTGTCTCTGATCAGGGTCCTCGGCCAGGACTGGAGGATGAGGCCAGCAGGACAGGAACAGCATGCTCCTGCTGCCTCCTTCGGCTCTAGCTCGTTAAGCCTCCTTCACACCAAGTGATTGTGTTTCCTCTTTTGCAGACTGCTGATGTTCTTTGCCCCACTGACGGGCCTGGCCAGTTTGTAAGAGCTCCGTAATGGAATTAAAGATACTAACCTGTTGTGTGTCGTATCTGCTATATATGTTTCTGGGCTTTTGCTGTGTTTGTGATTGACGCTGGGACACAGGGCAGGAGGGATGGCTGAGGCACAGCAGCGTCTTGGGAGACATTGTGAAATCCTGTACACAGATAGGCATACTAGGCCTTGGGGCCCAGGTGTGGTAGAAGGGTCCCTGTCTCAGTGTTTATGCCCCAAGCAGCTCTTACACTTTGAGGGACAGGTGGCTCTGTCAGCTGTGTCCCCGGTGTCTAACCTAGAACATGACCTATACAAGACAGGCGCCATCATAGAGCAGACATACATGATGGGCGCCCGTGTCACAGCCCATCCTGTGGCAGCCATGTGCTCCGATTGTCGTTCTGGCCTCAGGATCCCCTGGCACGTGTAGGCTCTCTGAGCACATGCTATGTCACGGTTTCAGATGTCATTTAAGCCATGAAAGGAATCGGAGGACATGGAAGCTTGAGTTTTAATGAAGACTTACTTTTTCTGAACAAAATATTTCTAAACAAAGTAATGGCCTGTTTCCATCTTGGTGGGTTTCCAGGAGGCAGTGGGGAGCTCAGACAGCTCCTGTCTTAGTCTCTGGGACACCGTTGTAAGCCTCTGAGGAAATCTACTGCAGGCTGCTGAGATGGAGGAGTGCAGAGTGGCCTTGTGCGCCAGGCACTGCTGGGCGAGGAATGACTAAGAGCAGGCAGCCCTGACCTACTCTGTAGAGCCTCTGGGACGGCTCTAAGTGCTTCAAAGCTCGCCCCCCCCCTTTAATAGGCAGTCATTTCTGGGATTAATTTGGTATGTCTTGTGAGATGTGTCTCCACACCAACACTGCACAGCGGGCGGCTTTCTCCACATGGAGGCTGGCCTGCCCCATGCACTGCCCCGTTCTGGCCCGTGTCATGTCTGTGTTTGTACCGAGATCTGGTTCCCATTCCACATGCTCTTGTCTCTTACTACTCAGTTCCTTTTTTTAAAACTTTTTAGATTTATTTATCACATATACAGTGTCTTTTAGATTTATTTATTTATCACATACACAGTGTTCTGCCAAAGGGGACACCAGATCTCATTACACACGATTGTGAGTGACCATGTGGTTGCTGGGAATCGAACTCAGGACATCTGGAAGAACAATCAGTGCTCTTAACCTCTAAGCCGTCTTTCCAGCCCCACCACTCAGTTTCAAGGTTTCTCTTAAAAACCCTGTGACAAGTACAGCTTGGGGGTGGGTGCCATCGCTCTGAGGGTTGCTGGTGGAGCCAGGCAGCTGCAGAGCCATGTCATGAGAGACTGGACGGCCCCTCGTCCAGCCCAGTCCTCACTGCCACCGTGTGCCTGTGTCTCCGACGTGTCAGGATCTGTCCCATTATCTGTCCTCTGCTATACATAGGTTCAGAGTGCTTAGTGGCTTCCTAGGGGTCGCCGGTTTCGAGGGCTTACCATCCCCTTTAACCCGACAGTAGAGGGATCCCTCTCTGGCCCAAGTCAAAGCTGGCAACCATGACTGCAGGGACCTGGGCCCACATGCCAGTGACCGTGTGCCTCCTCTAAGCTCCTCCACTCCCTATTGTCTGTCCATGTTTTCCCCAAGGGAGTGAAAATGGTATCAATCTACCGATCTCCAGCCCACACCTGCCCATCACCCAGGCCTGAACCTGACCTGTTGTGAGGCCAGCCTAGGTCCTTTCCTGCCTCTCAGGCCTGAAACAGCCCACCTTACTTTTCATTCCAACAACCCCTGACACAGATTCAAGGTTACTGTTAGATCTTCCTCTGACCTGGTTAGGTTTTCTTGGTTGCCCCTCCCACAGCCTCTCATCTGTCAAATAGTTTCTATTTCCACTGAACTTGGGTCTTTTCCACCAAATGGTACATCTCAAGGGCAGAGGTTCTGCCAAAAGTGTCCCCAGTGCCTGACTTGTTCAAGGCAGCTGTGATCACACAGCAGATATGGCGGCTGTCCTGGTCAGAGCCCGTGCCAGAGTGGCAGTCTGCCTGGCAGACTCTGGGGAAGCCCACAAATCTCACACTCCGGCCTACTTACAAGGTGAGGTCATCTGTTCAGGTGCCTCTTGGCCCACTCAATAGGCCAGGAGGAAGGCCTTGGGGAGGACAGGACATTGTCTTTGGGAATTACTTAACAATAAACAACATTTCATCCCCTGGTCTCTTTGGGAATTACTTAACAATAAACAACATTTCATCCCCTGGTCTGGCTACTTGATTAAACATTCGCATTCCTTTGCAAATGTAACTTGCTTGCAGTTTCTTTTATCACAGGCAGTGCTGTAGCAACCCTAATAGCCAGTTTTCCTGGGAATGCTTTCTCTCTGGTCAACAGGACCTTGTTCTCAGGTTCAGCGGCTCCTTATCTGCTTAATAAGGGCCATTGCCAGTACAGAGGACAGAGGGAAAGCATTGTGTGTGGGGGGAGCAGTTTCTCAGTCCCTCTGCAGAATGCAGCTTTTCCAGTTTGAGGTGGCCAGCATTCCCCGGACAGCAGGAGCCTCTTTTTCCAACAGTTTCCTCAGTAGAGATCAGTGTGTTATTTTTTTCGTTTATGTTTTTACTTTTATTTTTGTGGGGTTGGTTTTTACATTGCTATTGGGGGGCTCTTCAATCAGCAGGAATATTCACAGGTTCTTCAGCCATTCCAGGCTTGGACCCTGAGGGTCCTGGGAGTGGCTGGGCACATGGGGCCTTTGCCATTACCTCACACAACCACTGGGTAGTTGAAGGGTGTGGCCTGGTTGATCATGGAGCATACTTGGTGTGGGGGCTGACTATGGGTATAATTATAGCGAGGCCACAGATAGAGGACACCACCAACACTGGCTCCTTTGCCCAGGCAATCTTAGGAAAGGCAGAGAGCATCCCGGCCATCTTGGTCTTGTCCAGTGTGTTGTTTTTTGATTACTGCCATCTGCAGTAGAATGTAAGTGTGTCCCTAAATTCAAATGTTGAAATCTGCACCTTCATGTCATAATGTTGAGAAACAACCGTGTGCTGTTCAGGTCGCAGTCTAGGATACTGAGGTGGCTTGAGAGGATAGTCATCGTGGCTCACGTATGCCAATGCTTGGACTCCAGTGGACTGAGCTGCTTGGGAGGTTATGGGACCTTTAGGAGGTGCAGCCTTGCTGGAGGAACGTCAGCGGGGGTGGGCTTTGAGGGTTCATAGCCTCTCCCCCTTCCTATTTTCTCTCCCAACTGCTTGCTTATGAATGGAGAGGGAATCTCTCAGCTTCCTCTTCCAGCTGCCTGCTAACTTCCTGTTCACGATGGCCTCTCGTCTGGAACTCTAAGCCAAAGCAACGTCTTTGCAAGTTGCTTTTGATGGTGGTGTTTTGTCACAGCAAGAGAAAAGTGGCTAACACAGACACCTCCTCAAACACACCTGAGCTGGAGTCCGCCACACTGCCATCTCAACCCGCTGGCAATTTCTGCACCTGACTCTGGGTTCTTCACAGATTCACATCTCTTGATGCAGTGGTATTTTCTATGATGGCTGTGCTGGCTAGTTTTGTGTGAACTTGACACAAGCTAAAGTCATCTGAGAGGAGGGAATGTCAATTAAGGAAACGCCTCTTCAAATGGACGGCTCTAGAAAACATCATACTGAGTGAGGTAACCCAGACCTAGAAAGACAAATATCCTATGTACTCACTCAGCAGTGTCTTCTAGACATAAAACAAAGAAAAACCAGCCTACAATTTGCAACCCCAGAGAACCTAGCCAACAAAGAGGACCCTAAGAGAAATATACATGGATCTAATCTATATGGGAAATAGAAAAAGACGAGATCTCCTGAGTAAATTGGGAGTGTGGGGATAATGGGAGAGGGCAGAAGGGGAGGGGAGAGGGAGGGAAGGAAGTGGGAAAAAAATATAGGTCAATAAAAATAAAAAAAAGGGGAAAAAAGAAAAAAATGCCTCTATAAGATCAGGTTGTAAGCAGGCCTATAGGACATTTTTTTAAGTTAGTGATTGATGGGGGAGGGCCCAGGTGTGGTGCCAGTGCTGGTGGCCCTGGATTCTATAAGAAAACAGGCTGAGCAAGCCATGAGGAGGAAGCCAGTAAACAGCACCCATCCATGGCCTCTGCATCAGCTCCTGGTTCCTGCCCTGTCTGAGTTCCTGACCTGACTTCCCCTGATGATGAACAGTGATGTGGAAGTGGAAGTCGAAGAAGCCCTTTCCTCCAGCTTGCTCTTCGGTTCTGTTGTTTCATCACAGCCATAACGACCCTAACTAAGACAACGGCAACATTCAGTAGTGGGCTTTTCTTCTCTCACTGCACTGGCAGCAGCCCCGGGTGTCCCCTTGCATGCTTGCCATCCTCCCACTGATACAGATGTTCTCCAGGCTACCCATGGGTCCCAAGTACCCCTGAGAAGGGAACAGGGTGTTTTTGGTTCCTTCCTGGTTTCTAGTTGACCCTCTACTTTCCATTTTCTAGAATGTCTGCTGCCCCGAGGAAGGTACTTGAATCTAGGGACCACTATACTGCAGAGAAGTCCAAAGCAGGGCGCATGGGAAAACAGGTGCATAGCACTGGGTGGGAGAGGATCAGGGACCAGTAGGCCTAGAAAGCCCAAGGTACACTTGAATGTCCTGAGCTACAGAAAGAGGAGGGCAAGTCTCGCTCTCTCCCTGACAGGAATCCTTGCTGCTGGCCTCTTCCTCTGAGCCGATCCCCACTTCAGGGCGGATGTGGCCTTGGGTGGCTAAGCGCAGGCTAGCATCAGTAGCCGGACCCCTTGCCCTGCCAGAGCCCAGAGCCACAGAGACCCAGCCACATTCTGGGTTGCATTAAGTTGATTGTAAGTAGACATTACATGCTAAGAGACCACTCTAAAGACAAAAGCGACAGGACAATCTTAGAGTTGGGAGGGGACAGAAACACAGACTCCATTTGAACTATGTTTGCTTCTGTATGTTCCCATCGAATTGAGCTTCCTCAATAAACCAGTTATGAATAATTCACTTGGTAACTCAAGG